TAAATAACATATCCAGCTTTCAATAGAAATACCATAATTTATTCTGTTTGTATAAAAAAAGTTATAGTCACGTAACAAAACTATGTCTTCATAAGAAGAAATATATTATTTCACATAAATAAATCAAACATACAACCCTTGGCAACTCAAAAAAGCACGCGCCTGGTGCTTTCATGTCAGTGCTTGGGAAACAAGAAGAGCTGACAGATATATACACAGGATTACAGTACCAAAAAATGCTGAGGTATTTAGTTTCTCTAGAAATGAAACTGTAAGTTCATGAAGGCAAAACAATGCTCTAATGTAAAAATAAATAAATAGGATTGTCATAAGAGGGGACAGCATCAGTGTTGCTTAAAGTGTCCAGGAATGGGAATACTGGTGAGCACACTACTGAATGTGCAGCAGGCTTAGGACAAACAGAAGACAAGGGGGAACAGCTCAGGATAACACAGCGTCCTTTGCTCTTTGCGTAGGCATCCAGATATTGGCTTTAGAAGACAGCAGGAGAGTCCGTAACACCTAGTTCTCTGGCATCAGGTGAGCTCCTCTTCGTGACAGTGTTCTGGGATGCACGGATGGTTCCCCACAAGACACAAGTGACCAATGACACTGTCCCCACAGTTATTGCACTTCTGACACAGTACGTCTGAGTTCTGACCGGATTTTCACCTGCCTCTCAGCAGCTCGGGGAAGTGGTGATGGGACTCTGAAGGTAGCTTAAAGCACTGGACGAGGTGTGAACAGGGATGGAGACTGGGAAGTTAAAGACTGTGGTGGTCGATGCTCCTCTGTCCAATACTGACATAGCGGGGCTCCCAGCTTCTGCTGAGCAGTTGGGGGCAAGGACCTGCGACTCAAACTGGAGCAGCTGCCCCATGAAGCTGAAGTTCGGGGAGATGATGCTCCTTCTCTGCTTCACGAACTCAAAGGCTTCATCCAGCTTGACTCTGTTGGTCCTCATGAGATAAGCAAGGCAGATGGTTGCTGACCGGGAAATGCCAGCCTGGCAGTGCACAAACACCCTTCCTCCATCGTTTTTAACAGAGTCTGAAAAAATTAAAATACACAGTTGGCAAACAAGTCCCACAGCTTCCAGAGGTGGGAAAGCAGCGCCTGCCGTTTTACATGTCTTTAATCCATCCCTTCCTTAGCCGAATAGGTGAGCCCGGTGCTTTCGAGACAAAGAGAGCCTTTGTCCTGAGGGAAACAGCACTCTAGCTATTCTCATTCTGGGCTCCAATTCCAATTATACTAATAGGTCCTCCAGGTCACTTTAGCAGTCTCGCAAGATTACTTTAATACTGATCCGCTTAAGTTCACTAGCTCTCTTCTGCAAGACTAATGCCTCTTGATTCAAGATCTCAAACAGTTTTGTAAAGCCAAGATTATTCCTCTCAGCTGAATAAAATTAATGGAAACAGTCCCTGGGCATTTATCCCCTTGCAACAAAGGTTCCCCTATCTCAAATGAGGCTGCGCTGAGGAAGACAATACCACCCCCACCCAAAAAAAAGGAAAAAAAAATCACTCCCAGGGTACATCACAGGAGACAAAAGAACAGTAGAGAGGGCTCATTTACCTATGAAATCAATCGCCTCGTTAAACCAGGAGCTGATATCCGCCTTGTGGTTGTCCTCCACCGGGATACTCTTGTACTGGTAGTGCCCTTCGAAGTGGTTGGGGCAGTTGGCCGAGACGTTGATCAGCGCCGTGATCCCCAAGGCATCCAGCATGTCTTTCCGGGAGGCATGGTACGCGCTGCCCAGGTAGAGGAACGGCAGGATTTCCACGGGGCCACCCTGAAAGCGGACGGACAGACAGACAACCGGTCAGCACCGCTCGGGCAGCTCCCCATGGTGATCCCCAACACCACCTTGGGCACAGGAAGGTGCCGGCACCCACACATCTCCCCCACTCACCTGATCATACAAGGGGGTGCCGCAGGAGCTGCACCCCGAGTCGGCGCTGCCGGGGGCGCTGCTGGCGCTCAGGGGGAGGCTGAGGCCGGTGGGGGCGGCCGGCTTGGTGCACAGCTCGGAGCAGGCGGCCGAGAAAGCTTCGTAACCTCCTGCGGAGGAAGAGGGGCGCGGGGTGAGCGCTGCGCGGCCGGGGGCGAGCGGAGCCCGCGGCCGGCGGCGGGGAAGGAGGAGGAGGAGAAGGAGGAGGAGGCGGCCACGTCCCCGAGGGACCCCGGGCGGCCACTCACCCTTGAGAAAGCAGATGCGGGCGCCGCGGGCTTCCCTGCAGAGGGTGCCGAGGGCCAGCAGCAGGGTGCTGTCCCTCTTGGGCAGCTCCAGGTCTGCGCTGCGCTCGTCCAGCAGCACCACGGTGTGCACCAGCCCCTGGCGCAGGCGGGAGCGGAGCTCCTCGTTGGGGACGACGTGCTCCAGGGCGAGGGCTCCCTTGGCCCGGCGGCGGACGATGGTGCTGAGGCGCACGTTGCAGGAGCCGCGGATGTGCGCGGCGTTGAAGGAGAAGAAGGAGCGGCAGTCCAGCACCAGGCACTGCGCGGCGCGCTCCTGCAGCAGCCCCCGCAGCGCCTCGCACTCCAGCGCGCACACCCGCAGGTTCACCATGGCTCGGTCGGGCCCCGAGGAGCGAAGCAAAAAAAAAACACAAAAAACCCGAAAAATAAAAACTAAAACGAAGCGCTCCCGGGCGGCGCGGCTCGGCTGGGCACGGCGCGGCCCCGCAGCCTTATATCGGGGCGCGCCGCCGCCGCCGCCGTTTTCTCAATGGGGGCCGGGTCACGTGGGGGCCGCCCCGCGCCTGACGTCACCTTGGCGGCGCGCCACGGCCCCGCCGGTGTGACGTCATGGGCCGCTGGGCGCGCGCGCGCGCTCGCCCGGCTACAACCGCGTGGGGGGGGCGCGGGTGTGAGCACGCGTGGGGTCCCGCACCCAGCTCGTGGGGTCCCGCACCCAGCCGTGCGCGGGCACGCAGGGAGCGCGCACACGCGCGTGCACGCGCACCCGCACACGTCCCCAAGGGTGTGCACGCGCCTGCGGACACGCGTGGCTCCTGTGCCCCCCAGCAGCCCCCCCACGGCAATCGGGGGGCCGCAGGGTTGCGGGGGGGTTGGGTGGTTGGGGTTGTGTGCGTGGCCGTGCTCCTCGCACACGCCTGGCAGCACGTGTGAGCGCACGCGTGTACGCGAGCCTGGTGCTGGCGCGGCGGTTCTGTGATTTGGGTTCGTGCATAGGCAAATTACACAGGTACAGGCACAGGAAACGTCAGTGTGTGCACACGGGGACAGGTATCTGGGAGTGCATTTGGTATGTAAATGTCTCTGAGAAGCTGTTCTCACGTTCTGTGTGCGAGGAAAAAATCTGTGGTGGTTTGTTTTCCATTTCCCCAGATGTTAGGGCGGCCCGGTAACGGGCAATGAAGCAGCTGGAGCTCTGTTTTTTTTTTTCCCCCTGGTAGTGTATCAGCGCTTCCCAAAAGTTGTCTTTTCCCCGTGGGCGACCGGCTGCCACCAAAACACTGGGGTGTTTCTTACACGCAGCTTCCAGGCAGCGCCGCTTTCACTTCCCCTGTCTCCTCGCCGTTTCTCCCCGGCCCTATGAGCTCCCCGGCACACTCTGCCCTGGCCTCCGCCTGCCCCCAGCACCATCCCCGGCTTCAGCCCTTTTCCCACAGCCCCTTTCCAGCAATTCCTCCTTCCCCCAGCACCTCCTGCCCCTGCCGTGCTGCTCCCTGCTTGCCCCATGCAGCAGGTAGCTGTTGTCACCTCTCTTCTCCAGCTGCTCCCCTTCCAGAGTAGCCCTCCCCATGCACCCCTTTGCCCCAGGGTCCCCTCCCACCGCTCAGGCTGCCTTTCCCAGCTCCGAGCTCTCCCAGCCTCGTGGGCTGCCGGCTGTCAACTTTCTCAAACTTCCCAGTTGCTCCTCCACCAGTTTCCACCAGTCTTTGGCCACCTCCAGCCTTCTCAAACCAGCACACCTCTGCAACTGGCCAAGCGCTCCAGGGCTTTCCAGGCTCTTGGCGGGTGGCCAGGAGGAGGGGACACAGGGATGGACACAGCCAAGCGAGCATCGGCCCCAGCTCACCCGCTCGCTGCAGGGATGGCTCTGCTCTGCTGAGCAATGTTGGTTTTTTTCTTTCATTTTTTTTTGTTTTGATTTTTTTTTTTTTTGCCAGAACTGCAGCCTCAAAGCAGATCTGTCTTTTTTTAAACACGTCTTTTAAAAATAAACACTGGCTTGCACTTTTCATTCTATTTATTTATTATTGTTCTTTTAACAGCGGGTTGGAAACAGATTGCGGGAGAAACATTCATATGCTTCAGTGCCGGGAAACAACTCCGCTCGACCACGCGGTCACCCACGCTGTTACTGGGACCCTCTGGTGGTCCACAGCCCGCTGCTGGGTGTGAAGAACAGCCCCCAGCAGCTGATGGGTGACACCAGTCTCTCCGTGCCACGCACACGTGGGCAGGGCGCATGGGCTATGCTGCAGCTGGCAGTGGCATCGCTGTGACAGCACCATGCGTGGCCGAGCTCTGGTGACCTTGCCAAAAAGCCATCCCAGGCTGTGCTGAGGAGCCCAGCAGTGGGAATTAGCGATGATTGACGGCTTGCCAGCTTTTCGCAGCAGAAAGTGGTACGGCAGATGGCCGTGAGGCAGGCCTTCATTCATCACTTTTTCTCACTGCAATTCTCCTCATTTTGATGATGACCTCAGACCATGACGTGCCCCAAACTTATGGGTCTGAGCAGGCACCGTCCTTCTCCCAGGGGACTCCATCAGGATGCTGAGCTCCTCCAGCAAGCCCGAAGCCTTCCAGAACTGGGAGCACGGGCTGGAAGTGTGGATTTGAACTCTCTAATGGAAAGTGGTGTTTTAATGTGCTGCGCCACCGGTGCCTTGTCAGTGCAAATGGCCACTGGCTCATGGATGGGGGTATCCCTATGCTGCTGACAGTATTTCTCTTCTTGTCCCAAACTCTGCTCCTACACAGAAAATTAAAAGATTGAGGTTTTTTTTGTGTGTGTGTGTTTGGCATCCTCAGTTTTCCCCAAGTTTAACAACATTGCCGTGGGTGCCCCCTGTGCAGGTGGGCATCGTGCTCTTGTGGCAGCCGCCGTGCCAGCCATGCTGCCAGCTGGCTTGGTGCAAATATCGAATGTGGGCCGGGCACCCTGGGCCAGGTGCCTCGGCTGCTCTAAGCCAGCACAGGGAAAATGTTCAGCCGAGGCCTTTGCGCAAGGGGAATCTGCCTCTGCGAGAGCACGCAGCGATGCTAATCGCTCTCTGATGGACTTATTTAATTACGGGACTTTTGAATCTGCTCTTGTTTACACCCAGCGCAAATCAGGAAGAAAAAAATTAATCACATGTGGCAGTGTGCATTTAATCACTTATAATCCTGGACTAGCTATTTCCTTGCTTTACTCTATTTTTGTTTTCTTTTCTTAAATAAACCTGCCATAAGAATGAAAGAAAGGAAAATACAAAGCAGGACTGAAGTGCCTTTTAGGAGCTCAGCCTGACCTGAATGACTTTCTTAAGGGCTTGATTTCCTGTCTTAACAAAAGGCAGGAAAGACAAAATTAACCCCTTCCTCCAAAACAAATCCGTGTTTGCACTTGGGCCACAATGACATTGTAAAGGTAATAATAGAAACGACGGCAGTGCTGCCCCCGAGGGTGGGGGTGCAAGGCGATGCTTTTCTTTCAGCAGATGGGACCCGCTGCAGCGTTGCTGCGGCCCTCCTTTATTCCCTGGGCCTGAGCAGTTCCCATGTTCCTCTGCCAAAATATTTACAAGTCCATAACGACATGAAAGGCCCATGAGTGTGATCCTCCGCTCGTGGGATTAGGGACTTCTTGGGAAAATAATTCCCTGACAATTTCATCATAATGCCGTAGCTGAGCGCGCTGTCGTCTTCTCAGCCCGGCTGGGGACCTTGCCAGGCTTCCTTCAGAGGCTGCGGGTCTCCTGGTGCAGCCTGGCTGATGTTTATCTGCGAGGGGATAAACTGAGGGCTGCGGACAGCTTCTGCACGGCCTGACACCGGTGCCAATTTGTTAGCAACTTGGTGACAAGCGTAGATAACCCCTAGCCTGGAACTGGCCCATTGCACAAGCTGGTTAACCGGTAAAACTGGCTGCTCGGGCCTTTTAACCAGTCACCCATGGCCAAAATCAGCCCTGAACCGTTCCAGCCAACCCAGGATGACAGCACCGTTGGACCTGACCCCAGCCTGCGTCTCACTGCTCTCGGTGCAAGTTTTGCCTGAATAAAGATACGGAGCACCGAGCCTCAGCACTTGAGACAGAGAACAAAAATTCATGTGGGAAAATTTGGAAACCGTGCTGGATGCATTTCTTCTGCATGTGTAACATTTTCTCCGAATTCAGTTTCACAACCCAGCGTTTCCTTTTGTAAATATTTGGACTTTGTAGAGGCACAAAGTCATAAGAAACAGAAGGAAAAAGGAAAGATAGGGGGAGAGTCAGCAAAAGAAAGAACAGAAAAAAAAGAACGATGAGACACAGAAAGGATTCAGTGACGAAAGGTTACAACAAACAGCGTATGAACAATATAGAATTACCGATGAGTCATATTGCAATGAAAACAGCATTTTTAATGCCTTTAAATCCTGCGATTGAGCCCCTTTGCCAGGGTTTGTTGAGCTCAGGGTGCCTCAGATCCTGCATGCGAGAGGCGATGAGGAGGGGGACCGAGGAGGCAGAAGGGCCAGCCCAGACAACACGAAAGCCGGATCGGGGCTGGGCCCCACTGCTGGAGACAGCCTGCAAACCTGCTGTGCATGGCCTTACTTCTGTGTGCCACATTGGAGGCACAACTGGTCCTTGCTGAGTGCAAAGTGGTTGGGGAGCAGCCTGGGTATTTTCACTGAGGGCATGTCTTGGGTATACATGTCCAACTGAGGAATGGAAAAAAAATTTTGTCCACTCTGTTTTCCTGCCCGTCCCCAACCAGTGGCTGCCTCCTGCTCGCAGGCTCTGGGCAGCAGAGGGGCGAGAGCCCACACTCGGGTGATGGGTGCCTGTCTGCCTATGCTGCATCCCTAACGCTCCTTCTGGGGCTCCCCACTCCCCACTCAGGCCTTTCCCTGCTGTATTTGTAATGCAGGGCTGGGGGCTGCTGGCTCCAAAACACGACAGCCCACCAAGGCAGCCCTGCGCTGCAGCTGGGGCTTGCCATCAGCTCTGCAGCTGCCCTTAGTTGCACGAGCCGAGGTGCCCAGACAGCGAGCCTGGCATCATATAACCTAATACCTGTGTGTGTGTGGCTGTCCCAGGGCCCAGCATATGGCACCTCATGGCCTGAAACCCAAGGCATTTGGGAAGTCTGCCGCAGGGATTGTCCCCCATCGTCATTCTGCAAGTGTCTCTGCGTCTGCTCGAGCAGCTAACGCGAGGCAGGAGCTCTGCTTTCTCTTCCAGTGACTCACTGAAGTGCCTTGGGCAAGTTGCTTAGTGCTGCGTTTTAACATGATTACAGGCATTAGGCAGCCAGTCTGGGATACCATGGATTTGATATTCAAAATCATTAAATAACTGCCTCCGAAGGAAAATCTCTGGGAATTAGTGGCACTGATACAGTTCTCAGCACCAGGATCAGCTTAGTAGGGCAAATGGTTTAAGCAATTTAATCTTATATTTAATTGCTTCTATTAATCTGCTATGAATCATGACATGCACCAGGCATGAGGGTATTTATTCAATAAAATCACTGTATTCATAAGGTTCTCATATTTCGAGATGAAAGGTATTAAATCTATAGCAAAATACACTTATGGGAAATTATTCTTCCTACCGCCCGAGCGAGTGTTTTCTCAATAACATTGTCTAATGGCTAGGATGGCGAGGCAAGGCTTCTGTGGGAGGAGGGCGAATTTGAATAGAAAACAAATGACGTACCTTGCATCGAGAGGCAGGGAGAGGCGTGCTCTGCTCTCCAGAAATGTGAGCCACGGTTTATTGCCAGTCATGTGATGTCAGTGTTTTGTGGGCGCAGTGACTATGTATGAGCTTCCAATTCCCAGAACCATCAGCTCTCATAAAGATTGAGATAAGAGCTGCTGAGGCACTGCAATTTGCAGGTTGTTCTTCTGTTCTCCTTATCTGTGTTATCTTTACAGCGAGATGAAGGCATCATAAATGCACACGGCACACAGTAACCATCAGGGAGGTGGAGGGGCTGGTCAGGGTTATTTTGGGTTGTGCCCATTAAGGCAGGGATACAGCCAGAGTCTGGCATCTCCTTACCTGTCCTGGAGGGAGCCCAAACCTGTTCTCCATCACCACAGCTGCATCTTCCCAGCAGCTTGCTGGTGCAAGGGTCTGCAAAGCCAGCACAACCTGCTACTGTGGGACTTCCCCAGCACAAAGACCCTGTCTGGGAACAAGCTTTGTGCCCAGAGCCCCGTGCATACCCGACTGCTCCAACACAGGAATAACCATGGGTGGATAGAGGCAGCGTGGAAGGCTGGAGGACTGTCAGGGCTAACAGCTGCGGAAGGTGCTCCTGCCTGCCTCTGCTGTCCCATGATAGGGGCAGGAATGCAGACGTCGGGCTCTCGTGGCGTGCTCCCAGGACTTACCCACACCAGTTTCCTCTCCATCAGCCCGACATTTGCCTCACTGCCCAATGGCACTGAAAAAACAACAAGCAGGAATATAAAACTGTATGGGGTAAGGTTTCTGCTATCAAAAATCACAGCTCCCGTGTTCTTGGACTCTGGAGAGTGGAGACCCAAGAGTACACTTCATAAGGGTAGACATAAAAAAATAGAGAAGCATTTAAAGCAATAAAAGCACAAAGAAATGCCAGTGTGTGTTACATTACACATGCTCCATCTGCGTCTCAGTGTTCATCTATTTTTTCTGTGCTTTTTTAGTATAGTTTCCAAGGTGTTTATAGCCAGTCTTTGTATTTAATTCATAGCCAGTCTTTGTATTTAATTCATAACTGTTAAAAAATATCCCCCTATCAGTAAATACAGAACTGCTTATTCATTTTCTGCTATGCAGTTTGTTAAAATATTTGCAATATGACATGATTCTCTCATGTGATAGAGTGAGGTGATGTTTGTGTGTAACAGCGGTTAGTGAAAACACAGTGTTAGTCATAGGAGAGAATAACTTGCCTGTTTTGAATACGAAAACCTTTAGGCTGTGGAAAAAGCCAAACTTTGGCCCACTGTGTTGTTTTCAGAAGTATATGAGAACATATGGGACGGAGTGAGTCACGGTGCAGTGTCCTCTGAGCGTCAGTCACCTCAAGTGGGACACACTGTGAAATTCAGGAGAGGCATATAATGACCCATTTCTTTGTCCATGAAACGCCTTGTCACAGCCACCCAGGACCTGTCCGCGTTGCTCATGCCCCATTTGACTTAATAAAACACAAAAAACTGTTTTGTTTTATCAAAACCCCAAACCTGAGGCATTGCCTTGCTGTGAAACCTCCTCCCCTCAGGTGAGTTTAGGAAATATTCGCGCTGGCTTTCTCCGAAGCGTTGGACAAACTGTTTCTTGACAGGGATGAATAAGAAGTGAAGTCATACGGCAGAGCTGGCTGAAATGAATTTGCCCAAACATGGGGCGTTTCTGCGGGGGGGGGGGGCAGCCACACTGTGGCTCTTGGAGCCCGTCACAAGCTGTGATTTCACCTCGGCCGCCGCGCAAAGCGCTCAGCTCTGTTCAGAGAGAGGCCCAGCCAAAGGGACTCTCACACTAAGACGCTTCTTAGAGAGTATTTTTTTACAACTGCTGCAGTGTAAAAAAAAAAACCTCCCTTCCTCATTAAGCGAGAAGGAAGCCTGTAAACGCAGTGGGGTGAGGGGAGCCCTGAAATGAGAGGGGTTGAGGGTCAAGGGAGGCTTTTCTGCCAGTTTGGCAGCCCCTGGACTACACAAGCAGGTGGATAAAAGCATCCTTGTCCCTGGGGACATGTGGCAGGGACGAGGCATCCCGAGTGCCTCAGCATCTGCCCCCTGCCACTGGTAGCGCCTGCCTTGGGTCCGAGTTGCGAGAGGTGGGAGGAAAACGCCCCCAGGTTTTAGGATCGTTATTGCGGTGTCTTAGGCAGAGAGGGGGGAATGACAGCCCAGGTGTTTTCCAGAGCCCCACCGTAAAGATTTCCTTGTGTTCTTATACACCCCTACTGAGAACAGGCGGCTCCCTCATGGAACCAGATAAATCAATAATCAGCCCCCCGCCGGGTTTTATTGAGCCACTCACAGCTACGATCAGGCTTCAGAGAAAACAAATTAGAGTAGGATAACTAAATAAAGAAAGGGGCTTCTTCTAAACAAACGACAATAAGATCACTACACTGGAGTCACATTTGAACACAACATCTCGCTTGAACACGCAGAATTTTGAAAACATGTGAAATGTGGGCCAAAGGCTAAATTTCACAGTATGGGCTCTGGTAAATGCAGTAATTCAAAGTATTTTTCCTTTCTGTTTTGTCTCTGTTCAGTTCAGGTTTTTAGTTCACATGCCAGGACCTCCAGTGGGACAGATCACATCAATCAGCAATCGCTTTGCTTGCCTTCACACTCATATTTTTTAAAACAAAAAGAGGAACAAGAAGGGAAATTAGCTAAAGGAATCATGCACATTCTCAGATGGTAAATACAAGAGGAGCATGAATCATCCTCTTATAGAAATGACGAGAAAGGATGGAAAAGGTAGCGGTTTGGGAGAAGAAAGTTATGTTCTACACGGCTGATTCAGCTCACTGGACTGAAAATGAATCATCAGAATATTTAAATCATATTACCAGTATTAACACACACAAAACCCCCAAGCTCAGGAAGCCTTTGTTATGAAACAAATGTGATAACGGATAACAAAAGAACAAAGAGGCAGCTTCCTAGCAGCACTGCAATCGCTCAGATCTGCCGCGTGTCCCTGTCCCTGGGAGAAGCGAAAAGTTTGCTTCAATTGCAATAGCCATGTCCCTGCCACTGCTGAGCTTACAGCACCGGGTGCTTCAGAAACCAAAAGACAGATTTTTCTTCACCCTCTAGAGCTTTTACACTTCGGCTGTGACAAAGTTTTTTAAAATAAATGATTTGCCCACTGGAGAGTACTTGACTAAGGCTTCATTGCTGCCGAGGATCGTACCATCAGCTGGTGATGCAGACGCTCTGTTAGAGACCTGAGTAGGAGGTTTGACACTGGAAACACATCTCTTCTTATCTAATTGTGCCTGAGCCTAAGCTACAGCGTTAATGAAGCTGTAACACACCGGGTTTGGGGCAGACTCTAGGCAGAGGTAACGGCCAGGCTAAAGGATGGTTTAAAATCCCCTTATTTTCTTTCTACCCTTCTGGCTAAGCTTAGCTCAGCTGGGATAAAAAAGTGACCCTTGTGTGTAGGGATGTTTTCATTCACGTAGGAAAGGCAGTCACCTCCAGAATATAGCACAGCAGAGGAAGCAAAGCAAACCACAGGATTCTTTTACATAATGAGTTGCAAAGGTTTTGTAGGGAAGTGTCTGGTTGCTATAAAGTACATCTGTGTATTCCATAACAGTTTGTCACATTAAAAACTCTCAATTCCAGAATAAATGTATCTGTATTCAATAGCTGGAATCCTCAGGGGGATCACAATGAGGTAGAAATCTATCTCCAAATATTTTTACTGTGTTTTCTTGTCTAAATCTTCCAGGTTCCTTCTCGAGTCTTCAATTTAGACTTTAACACTACGGAACTAAAGCTTTCAAACTCAGCTAGCAAGCAGGGATCATAATGAAGATTTGCCAAAATTCTGACAAGCTATTTTTAACAAAAGCTGTTTTAATAAAAGAATATATATTACTGAAGTAAACATGGGCAGGAAAGACAGAAAGTGAGAGTGACAGGCAGAGAGACAAACACTTCTTTGCAAAGAAGCCTTTGAAACATCTGGAATGTTGCAGCAAAATGTTATTTACCAGGAACGTCAGCCAGTCCCAGCGCAGATGGTTCCCATTAGTGTAGGATCAAGAGACCAGCAAGGCTAAAAATATGTGTTTGCTTTTTTAGAAACTGGTCTTCATACTCTGTGCTTTAAAAATAATAATCACTGTTACACAACTTCTGTAACTTAGAAATATTTTCTTGGAATATTGTTTGGCATGCTGGCTAGGCTGCAGGCCCTGTGCCACTGCTATTACTCACAACCTTTCTCCCTGAGGACTTTATGATCTCTCTTTTACTTAGAAATAGGAGGATGGCACATTAAGCTGAAACTGATGACTTTTTGTTATAATGTGCCATTGACAAAATACATGAATTACTACTGTAGGCCAGTGTCTTGCCTGGTGTTAAAGTGCAGAGTCCACCAGGGCACCACACAAAGCCATCATGGGGCTGTGGGGACTATGGGGCCACTTCCCCAGCACCAGAGCATAAACACATCCAGTGCCAGGCAGTGCTCCTGGGGGAGGTTGGCAGCGGAGAGCTTCTAGTCTCCCTGGTCAATGTATTTTGGAATCGTGGATTAAACCAATGGAAAAACGTTGAATTATACCAGGCAGGAGCCTGGCTCAGCGAGAAGGAGCGCGGTCAACTGCGTGAAGATCTTTGCTCCAGGCGGAGATGAGAGGAGTTCTGATTTCTGCTGGCTTTGCTTATAAGGCACATGGTCAGTCATCTACCCAGAAATACACCAGCCTTGGAGGCATTTGTGACTTAAATAAAAAAGCAGATCTAGCATGGCTCGTCATAGCACATTTTGTGTTGAAACCCCTGTTGGTCAGCCAGAGGTCTCTGCTCTGTCCGGAGCACAGGGAGAGAAAAATGTAATTCCGTAGGAAAATGCTCGAAGTTTCTCATCAGCACCTGGGAAGAAGAGAAGAGAGTGCTGATATGTATGAGCCAGTCTGTGACTTCACAAAAAATGACACAAATGAAACAGAAAAACTTTCAGGATTGTTCATAAGATGCTTTGAGCTTTTCAAATGTAGTGTTTCAAAGCACTTCACACACAGCAGCTGCCCCTATGAAACACATGAGGAAATAAAGAGCTGAAACTTGAATGTGGTCTAATGAACAATTCTTAACTAAAAGATCTGAGCTCTCGGTGGAAACGCTGAAGAAAACTGTTCACATATTTCCTATGGGTCCCAAAAGAAAAACAGGTTTTGGAAGAAGGCCTTTGATAAAACGGTTCCAACTACCACTGCTCTTCCAGCAGTAACCAGCCCTAAGCAGAAGAAACCACCAGCAAAGAGTTCAGCTTATAGAAACTTGTTTCTAAAGGAGATTACTTGGGTTGGGAAAGAGAATTTGGGATGGTGCTGGAGCAGGGAGGGAGGAGGCCTTGCCTGCCAGCTCGGCCTTGTTCTGGTGGCGCTGGCAGCAGGGCCCCACAGCCTGGGCTCCTGACCTCAAGCTGGCAGCTCATGAAGCCAGCACACTGTAGAGACATCACCTACCAAAACCTGCATTTTGTTCTGGGACCAGTGCAAGCACACCAACCCACAAAACACAGTGGTTGCCCTCAGCCCTGGCTGTTAGGCCTGGCAGCAGCACAGCAGTGTGCCCAGCAGTGAGAGCCACTCTGACGATGAGCCAGGTGGACCTTGTCAGTTAGCTTTGCATCACTTCCCTTTTTTGCTTTTTTTTTTTTTTTTTTTTTTACTGGCAGTACTGACAGGAAAAAATATGTTTCAGAGGGAAAATATGCGATCAGCATTCTTTTCATCAAAACATGAATGTGACAAAGACAATTTCTCTTTGAGGCCAGCTGCTATTGTGAGAACAGAGGATCAGTTCCCACCCCGATCACCTTTTCTCCTGGACAGGTGATCTATAAACACGAGTCTGTGTGTCTTTCTCAGACTTTTTCTGAGCACAATAGCACCCGCTGGTCTCTCTGTCTCAGCAGAAACCTAGCTCAGCTGGCTGCAATGACAGCAGGGAGCCCTCTCAGCTCCCTAAGATAAACCAGAGGCAGCCTCAGCAGACAGAGCAGGGCAAGGCTCCACTGCCCACGCTGAGCCTCTTGCACGGGAGAGCATTTGAGTGTATTAGGATGATTTATGGCACCTATCAACAGCATCAAATTCACCACAGGACGAGAACAGAAGCAGATGCAAAAAGCCTGAAAGTCAGAGCTATCAGGAGTGTGGTGCAGAATGAGTAAATAGATCCCCAAAATATTCAGTGACAATTTCCAAGTCCCCTCATGCATGGAGATCTCTTTTTGAACCAACACTAACCATTTCTTGAAATAACATCAGCCCTTCTCCCGCAGCCCCCATCCAAGGGCTGTGCACTGCTCGGCAGGGCTGTCAGCTTGGCAAGTGGGCGACCTCCTGTGTAATGTATAATTCAAGTCTCCAATACACAAATGATTGCAGCAGAGTCAGAGAACATGCAAATTATGCCCCACATCCTGCTGTTAGTCACCCTCTTGGGGGAACTCACCCCTACAAAGCCGGTATCCCAGGGCACACCGTGTTTGCTAAGCTTCTCTTTCTAACTGTTTCAACAGCAGCAGAAATCTCACAGCTCTTCTCTTGAAAATGACTGTAACTTAAAGCCGCTGGAGTGAAATACTCTAGTGGTTTTTCCCTAAAAATAGCAAATGAGTTATCCATATTCCGTTTTACTGCTGCATAACAATTAGAGGTATTAGTTTGAAATATTCTAGTGAATTACATCGAATCTTTCATCAAAGGGGATCAAAGCACTTTGCATATTAATTAAATCTCAAAATAAGGCTCTGAGTTAAGCTTAATTATGGGAGATGGTGAATTCTAGGGATTGATATGGGTGAGAAGAAATCAGGACGCCTGGTGATTTGCTACATTCAGGGCTTGTACAAGCCCTTCAGATTCTCCATGCCTCAGCTTCTCTGCCTGCGGGAGAAGGATAGTTATCCAGAGCTGTGTTTGCAAAGTATGAAAAAAAAAAAATCCTCTGGCAAAAGTGATGCCTGACTGTTTATGTGGCAATTACAGTGCCTGGGTGTTTACGTGGGCAGAAAGAGACGGGCTGACAGACGTATCCAGTGGAGTCCTAAAGCTGCTCTGTTTCCCATCCAATTTCCCACCCATGATGGGCCTGCCTGTGCAGTGCTCCCCAGCACGCTTTTCCCCTTGGTCTTATGAACTGTCCTGAAGGCAGAACAGAGGGCTCTGCTAGCTGGTGATGGAGCAGTGCTCACCATCACAGCCCCAAGCATCTCACAGCTTGGGAAGCTGCCACACACACAGTGACTGTCCAAGGAATCATCCATCCCCTGTTCCCATCTGACAGCTCAATACAGTCTGGGTGTTCAGGAGCTATCAGTGAGTTAGGTACCAAAGCTCCTTTACAATTTCAGTCAAGTGATCCCATAAAAGAAACCTTCCTCCCTTCCTAGGAGAGGAAAAATTCCACCTCAGCTCATAGTGTAGCTGGGACAATGCTCTCATGGGGAATTAACCTAGAGTTGTCCCTTTTTATAACAGTGACTAATGGCGGCTTTATGAAAGCAAGGATCGATATGAAATGCCATGAACTAAGGTTATTGGTTGTGTACTATTTGAACAAGACGTGTAGAATCATAAATGTACCTATGACTAAACCTGAACAGCTCGATGCCACGAGACCAATGATAAAATTATGAGCATTAGCAATGGAAAACCAGTGCCTGGTGTCAGGCAGAGTGGATGAGCCAGGCAGCACTCGCTTCTTCGTTATCAAACACACGGGGAAAGAACTGAAACAAACACTCGGTCCAGCCTCGGATGACTACAGGATTAGACAGGAGGGTGCTTCATTTCCATATGTGAGGTAATATGACTTATAATGTCACTGCTAATATTTGCCAACTTCTGTTTACTTTTTAGCAGATGAAGTAATATTTATGAGTGATACCTGAGTGATATACCTGCTGAATATACTCACACATGAGCGCTACAGGTCTAGGTGGTGGGGGAACCTGTGCTGGCCAGCATCTGCTTATCTCATTTAATGACTTAATAGAATTCAGCTTGGTTTCCCCTGCAACAGTGAAGAAGGGGTTCCCATGGACACACCAGCACCCCAAGACGCCTCTTGTTCTTCTCTTAGACACCAGAATAGCTCGTTCAGCACCTGGGAGGAAGGGCAGCCCTCTGGTCCCATTTCACTGGGGGGCACTGGGTGGCTATGGAGGAGGGCAGCAGCCTTTCTGCAGCCAAACTGGTGCTTCCCATGGGGCTGCCCTTCTCCCTTCCTATCTGAAGAAACAGGGCATCATCAGCAACGCAGCCAACAGAAAAGCCACAAACGTCACTGTGGCCTTGCTTCAGTCACGTTTGGCAACTGGCAGAAAGCCACTTCCCTAGACGACGGCCGTGCCGTTTGGGGCTGGCGTCTTCTGCAATGCTCACGAGCCAGCCCTTAGCAACACGCGCTCACAGAGAGCCCCAGCCCCTTCCAGAAGCTGCGAGCTGTGTCCAGTGACCCCAGCTCTTCCTCGTGTGACACCGCAGGGCCTCTTGTCTCATCCTCATGCAAACCAGGCGCAGCGTGACGGGCAGAAGGAAAAGCCTGCAAGCCTCTGGGCGGCCACTGCCACCGCTGTCAGCACTTGACAGAGCTGTTCTGAGATTTGGCTTGCTAATGACTGAGAAGCTGAGATGAGAGCGATTATGGAAATCAGAGACAGAAGTCTGAGACAAATGTTCCTGGATTGCTTCTTATGGTGCATGTTCTCATCCCCGGTCCTTTGTAATTGCAAAAAATGGTGCCTTGCAGATACCTTGAAGAGACTGGAGACAGACATATGCATCTCATCATCAGGAAGTCTGTCTTGATAGTCAGCCAAGATCCCAGAGGAGTGTGCATTATTTATTATTATTATCATCATTGCCGCCACTAACCTCATGTCCCTAGAGATTTGACTCCAGTACAAATGCCTGAGACCATATCCTGGGGTTCGTACTCCGTTTTTGTTAACCATATGGTCACACAAGCCCCCTCTGTCATCTCTGGTGACTTAAACTTCTGAATAAAGAATGGGTTGCACACAGAGTAAAGTCCTCTGGACGCTGCTCTGTCTTTTTTATTGCAAGCTTCACTTGAGAGCCATATGATAGGAAAGCAAGAGCCTGGATGTACTGTAAAACATCCACAGAGACTGACTGCCTGGCTCCCTGCAGACATCAGCTTTATTGGAGAAAAGCAGAGCAGCAGAAAATCAATAGCAACAAGCAAAATTCTTTATTTGTGCCAACACCGAATTACAAACCCGGAGCTTTTTGCATACTGTGTGTGCAGGAACATAATGTCAACAGCACTGTGCTGCAACAGGAAGCAAAAGATAAGACTTGGTGAACCATCAGCTTCCTGAGCACCAATCTGTCACTGTGTTTTTGTTTATGTTTTACGAAGTACAGGTTGGCATTACAAATGATTTTGGCAACTTTTTCCTTTTTTTTTTTTTTTTTTTTCTGATTATTTCACAAGCTGTTTAAGGTATTGCAAATGCAGCTTTTCTTTCAAAATTCTTGCCTAAATTTTAGCAAGAGGCATGTACCCAAATGCTACACTATCTGCGGTTTGCGGTATATGGTCACAATGCAGAACTTCTGACCCTTGAGTGGATGACAAAGAGAAATAATTCCAAAAATGAAAACCAATGTACTAGTAATAATTATTAGTCATTTCAGACTATATTTCTAGAGACGTTATTTGTCCTAAGGAATCATAGGCCTTCCTTATAATTGTCGGATGACTATGCAAATATTAGCGGTAACATGACAAATTATATTACCCCATGTATAGAAATGAACTGAAATCTAAATTTAAGAACACTTCATTTTCATTATTCATCTAAGCTTAATCACAAGCATGGGAAATATCACCGTAAAATCCAGTGAGTGCTTGTTTTGTCTTTTTTTTTTTATTTTTCCCTAAACTGAAAGTAAGGGGGCTGTTTCCTTATTCTGACAGCAAACTGAATTTAGCACATGCTGCTCGTGGTATTCTCTCATCCATCACAGCTGAACTGAAACGTTCGAGTTTCTGGGGCACTGATGCTTGACAGCCCAGAGAGCGACTCTCCATTATGAGCATGCCGAGATGCTCTGCGCTGCTCACTGAAGGGAACAGCAGCCGGCACAATGGAGCCACTGATTAATGAGAACAATCGTGGAGGATTTCCTATTATGCCAAGCTTCAGAGGAAAACAGTAAGCAATGCAAAGGAAATGAGTGCATTTGCTCAAAATGAAAAGGTCATCCAGCCACAAATTTTCAGCTTTGATATACACGTAACATTTCAACTCCCATTTTTATCACAAATTATAGCTTCCCAAGGTCTTCAGGAAGTTGACAGAGAGATTGGAAGGTTATTGGGTGGTGTGAGAACGGAACTAACTATGATTTACAAACTTGTCATTGCAGCATATCCACTTTTGTGTAATGAAGAACAAAGCAACCACCCTAACAGCATCCCTTTTGCATCTTCATCATCCAGTTTTAAATAACAGCTTCTGATGGTGTCAGAGAGACTCAAGACCTCTCTCCCCAAAATACCCTGAAAAGCCAGTTTAACAATACGGATATGCAAAAGCTGGTACCCTCTTGTGAATTGCAGACTATGTTGCAATTTTACAGAGGTTTTGCCAGATGCTCATTCACATTGACATCACTCAGAGTTAAATACTAGTGAATGTAAATGCAGCAAAATCTTTTATACACAGTATTGTTCCATTAAAAGAGTGTGCAGTTCCATCCTCAATGCTTCCATTGCCTCCTTATCGCAACCTAATCTGCCCCAGCCTCAATTCCCTTGTTCACAAAATAGAAATAATAGCATTTAGCTTCCAATTAATTAATTTATTTTTCCGTGGGACATTGTGAGAACTGGTGAATCTTCAGTAAGTGTTTCAAAGATCACCAAATTGGTGTTGCTAAAACAAAAGGACTGTTTGCACTAATCCAGTAGTACCAGTGGTACTCATATTATTTTAGGCATGCCTTAATCCCCTCATGTTTCACACAGCCTGGAAAAGCAACTGTAAGCTATTTGTGTTGGGTGAAAACAGATGCTGAACATATCATGATGCAGGTATAAGGGAGTTCTGTATTTTAGCTAGGGAAGCACTCAGCACACAAAGAGTGAAACCATGGAACTGCTGCAGCTAAAGGGAATTCTCATTGTATATAATAAAATACTGCTACTTGTACAGCATCTATTGAATCTCCCAGAGCCTTACTAAGACATAACTAAAATACCAAATTGAAAACTCTATCACAGGACTAGACTGGTAGGACAAAATTTTGGTCTATGGCACTTGAATGTATAATGAAAATCCATTAGTGACTCATTTTTTCTAAGGATAGCAGGCGGTATACCTTATGAGTCAGCCTTCTGCTGAGAAAAAAGTCCTACCTTCAACAGACTGGGAGATAAACCACTGAAAAGAGCATAATTATCAGCTGTTACATTAGGGGACAGAGTGGAGAACAGGCAAAGGAAAGAGCAAAAATGTATGAAGGACTTAGCTCGTGGAGGAACTCTCAGTATCATAAGACTGACCTTTAAAGACCAGTGAGAAATTGAGTTGAATACACTCATCACCTGTCTGGGAGGTTTACTGAAGACTTCTCTGTAAGTCAAAGCACACAGATTAGTTCTGCAT